CTACCGTAAAACTCCATGCCAGTCCACTTGATAAGAGCAATGAGCACTATCCGTTCTTCGCGCTGTCACACGCGCCCAAACATCAACCACCAAATGCCCAAACACCGGTGTGTCGTTTCGTCGCACAGCGCGCAGACTGTCACAAACGCTGCACATGATTGGCGCAGAACTGCGCATGCGCGAACAGCCGAACAAGTATGGCTTAACTCCGGCTTTACTCCAGTTAGCCGAAGGACACAGCCAGCTTGATCAGCCCGCGCTCCGCCCAAGTTAAGCCTGTTTTGGATGCGTGGGCAGATGTCGGGCTGAGCTACTGCTATCCGCACGTGGGCATAGCTGCGGCATGCCCAAGCTCAGCCCTAGTAAAAAATACATTGGTTTTGATCAAAGTGGGCAAACCCAAGCTAAGCCCAAGCTGCCCGACGTTTGCCACAGTTCAGCCCAAGTGAATTGCTGGCTGGGAGATGGCCAAGGTCCGTCCATGGATTTCATCTAGATGTAAAAGCGAATGTGCTACTTTATGCCTATAGGTATGTTTGTATGTATAATATAGATATCACCGACAGCCTGTAATAAGGATATGCATTGCACCCACATACATAAAACAAGCGCGGCATTAGTGGGCAATAATCTACAGACAATAAGATATATAACCACAAACTCAAATGAATACACAATTGGCCTAAACTAACTTACCTCAAAGCAAACTGACGACGAAAATAAACAGTTCTCGAGATGACACTGGTTCGATCAATAGGTATGACTCGCAACATTCACCGCGAAAATTCATCCATTTTCGTAACTAAATTCCAGGTTCGGTTGTTAACACTTTACATTAGGCGGCCAAGCCTTCATTGGCTAAAAAATAAAATCAGTCACCTCTTTGCAAAAATTTGGTCCCTTCATGTGACCGTGTCCGGTCCAACACTCGGATGCCACAATCCTCGCCAGCGCCTTTCATTGAACCTTGGCATTTGCTTCTGTCCACGCATTCTACATGTCTCCTCTGAATCAAGCCCTAGTGTAGGTAAGTCTCCAATTATTTTCGATCCTTACTGATGCCTTCCACGAGGGCAGACATTCGCCATTCAGTTTATCCGTTCGACATGCCTCCTGATATGCTACGTATCGTGTTACCCAGTCGCGTATTGACGTGACTGCATGCGCAGCTCGGCACCTCACTGAACTCAATGCAAACGTATGTTCATTGAGTTAGGTACTACAGAATGATGTTCCACTCCTCAGAAGCTATCATTTGACTGGAACGATAAGTTGTGCCGTTTATCACGCAATTTAGAATGCCTATTGTGAACGTTGGTCACAGCATTGGTCTGTGAATTCAGTTCGTGTGATGCGGCACAGCCTATCACTCAAGGCAAATTATTTCCTGAGAAAAGTGAAACATCATTCTGTAGTCGGCTGTACACGTGGACGATATCCAGTCAGTGCATAAATCAAATTGATCAAAAAAGTTCAACTATTTTAGGTAGGTACTAGAATCGCTTATGTTGACCAATCAGCAAACATGCGATAGAGAATTATCTGAATGATAGATGCAGGAATTAAGATATATGAACACTCGAGATAGTGACGGCAAGCTTTGCAAGCCCGAGATCCCTTGGGTCTTGGTGTGTGTGCTTCAAAGGAGGTGAAGTCATTTATTTGTTCATTGAATGTACGGCTCTCGCGAGATTAAGCGGTAGGTTTTGCCCTTTTACGTTTCCGGTTATATCTCAGAAACTGATCGATCTATAATAAAGCCATTTTATACGATCATGGCAGGCTTGAGAACGAACAAGTCGATCGCATCTTCAACACTTAAAAGCTTAAAGGGACCCTCCCACCTTCAAAAAAGTTAATGAATTGGCATGAAAGTGATGTCCCTTGGTTCAGAAAGAGCAAAAACGAATATCTACCAAATTTCACCGAAAAATATTCACTGGTTTTCAAGATATTAGGCTTTTACTTTTGTTTACTTTTTGGGATCTCCCCTCTTACTAGCGACTTTATTTGGAAGCAATAATTTGGCAGCCTTAAAGTGCGGCAGACGTTGCGCGCAAAGCAGCGTATACCACCACGTGTTAACGATGGTTTTAGTCTAAGATTTAAAAATAGTTAGATCTCCGCTGACGTCACAAATTCTAAGGGGGCATTCCAATGCATTAGCCCCTTAGAATCCGAAAACTGCAAGTTTTAAATTCCATATCTTCGAATTAAAGCATTTTTCGATGTTGTGAGTGCCCAAACCGGTATTTGCAGGCCATGGCCACCAATTTGGCTATCTCAACTCAAAACTAATGTTAAGGTGGGAGTGTCCCTTTAAGACGAAGAAGATATAGCCTGAAGACTGAAGTACACTAAATTTCAGGTGCAAAATCTGCCGCTAAAACCCGCGAGACCTGTACATACCTATGATATTATGATAACCTGAACGGTTATAATAGTTAGCTACGTGGTTTAAAAGCCACTACGGGCTATAACTAAAAACAAACCGTTTTAGATACACCTCAACTCGACTGAGGGATGAAGGGGGGGGGGGGGCGTGCTAATGCCAGTCTATCCCAAGGTATTTCGAGAATATCCCGTTTAACCCGCGCCCCGTTGAGGTCTGGCAGGTTTCACGTCCTATTGAAGGGGGGGGGACAAGCATCTCCGGAACCATGATAGAAGGATCGGAAAATTCAAACGGCAATTGATCGAAAGAACTCATCGAAATGCACAAGATGAGCTTTCAATGGCCTCGATTTTTAATCTGTGACGTCACAGGGAGCAGGGAGGTCAAACAAGGTCAAATCTGTCCAAGTTACAATGACGAGCAGTCGGTTCTAGAAAAAGAAATATAGGTTTCCCAACTGAGTCTGGATATGATGTATCATAGATATGACACGTGGGTAGTCATCTGGGCCCTGTTCATGAGCCCTGCGGTGCGGTCGCTGAGGTCGCTGTGGTCGCTGCAGTCAGCCGGGCTGTCAAAATTTTACAATGATATATTTTTCAAAATCATTTTTCAGTACGTTTTTTGACATCGTACAGCATTATGAATGGCACCGTCGTGTTCCTGAGCTCAAACTGCATCTGAAAGGCATCTTTTTGTTGAAAAATTTAATGTTCAAAATTTGACCTTTTCTGACCTGAAAGTGACCTGACCTCCGGTACATTCAGCCAAAAATGACCTCAAACGACACAGACGACATTGTTTTCTAAAGCCATGAGTAAAATGGACCATAAAACATGTGTCACGTGACCGATATATGATATACAACTTTCGTGACTTAGGATGACCTGGCCTTGACCTGAAAAATTCAATGTAAAAGTTCAGTACCCTCAGGGTATCTACGGCATATATCAAGGAGTGCGTAAACCAAAAATAGGCCTGATCGGACTTGTCAGCCGGCGGTCAGATCCTAAATTGTGAACAAGCAAAAATGCTGATAATTTTTACTTTGACCTGACCAGTGACCTGTGACGTCATCGGTGACCTCCAGGTCAAAGAGAATAGGCTTCGTTCGACAGTTTTTTAGGGCTATCAGACGCCGTGTGAATTTTGACGATCGGCCCATTAGTTTCGGAGATAGAAGGGGGGCTCTGGAGAGCCCCCCATCCTAGTCACTCGCGTCATGGAAAATACCCCAGTCATGCGCGAGTTTAAGTACCTATATTTCTTTTGCAGCATCGCAATGAGAGAAACACGTAGCATCTAAATTTCGCAGACAATTTTGATGACTTGTTGACCTGACTCTGCATCTGAACATACCTAACTGATGCGTTTACTTTTTAACGTTTTTCACAGTCCTTAACGTTTTTCCCACCTATTCATGTCTGCGGCGAGTGACTTAGAACCCGAATTAAGAATGGAGGGGCATTTACATGTCTCTGCACCGTCATGTGTTACCACCGGCCCATCGCCACGGCACGCGAGGCTTCGAATATTATCTTAGCATAGCATGTTTTAGGCCGTTTTGATCTCTTTTAGTAAGCTGCGCCATCTTACCTGAATCGATGCAACTTTGTAGGCACATCAGTGCACGCAGGACAATGAACATCATCCACTCTTTGTTTTTCGTTATGCACTTTGGGCGAGGTGCGCTCTATGTTTCTCGTGCGCAATGTTTCTCGGTCAGAGTATTCGGTCTCGACTGAGGCGGCTCCGCACTGTCTGCGTTCTCAATGCACACTGAGTAAAGGGCGGCTCCAAATGACGTCGGCAGACGTCATTGATATGATAACTTGATGATATCCTATTACTTAGCTGGTGAGTCACGGAACATCATGCGTTGTGCAGGTGTTATCGATAGCAACCTCAACAGGAGGCATTGTCAAGATAGAGGTACTTATGTGCATTTACTGCAGGACTTATCAAAATAGTGTTTCTTGATAGCCATGCCAATTAGCATTCTAAAAAGAAAATCATAAAACTTTCATGATGTGTCTCCATTGTATTATCATAATGCTGTTAGTGAGTCAGTGATTTAATTCTTATCAAAACGCAAAATTCAATTCAAATAGTATTAGCTGATACGGCTTCCTCAGTGTTGAAACAGTTCATATTAGCTGTTTTCACGACGACCATCTGGTAAACATTTGATTCACATTTGGTGCAGATTTGGTCAAATTAGGTTCATTGTATTTCTTAGAAGTTATCAGCTTGGGTTGCACAGTTGCTTTAGCGCCTGCTTTTTTCAAATTACCAGACATTATTTTCGATTAAAGCACTGAAATAAATTCATGACATGAGGATATTTGTTGCAAAAGAGGTTTAGTGTACAGTTGGTCAAGTCTGGTGCATTCGCCAGGTAGCCCGTCGTACAAACGGCTCTTCACCTTTTACATAGGTATGCCAAGAACGGCATGAAAACGGTGACGTTACTCGGCACCGTCGTTTTTAAATATTCACAACCAGCCTTGTGTGTGGGAGTCTGCTACAGTACAAACGCTTCAAAATACGGCACCCATGTCTCTCAAAAGCGCCCACTTCCCTTCTGTTATGTATTTAACTCCCATCATTTATCGGGGCTAATCTCTGAGCCCCGCGTCAGTCCTCTCTCTCTCTCTCTGACCACCAGCTCGCGGTATCCGGTACCGGTGTCCTCCTCCCGGCAGAACTCCAAGTCCTCTGCCTCGCCCACCACCAGCTCGGCCGTCGTCTGAACCGTCAGTGACATCACGTGACCGGACAGCGTCGAGCCGTCGGCGCGACCTAGGGTCACGTGAAGGTGCGCGCCGTCCGGCGATACGGTCCCCACCAGTCCGCAGATCTCCAGAAACTCGCTGCTGTCCATATACTGAAATGAAGAGGGCGAAAAATGACAATACAGACAGTGATTGGCAGTTAGAGGTCGAGTCTGAAACATAGATGCCAGGACCAAGTCACATGTTGCCTTTAGAAATTAAGCTATGCTGTGTAACTTCGCTTACCTAGGTACCAATACCAACAATTGATATCTACTTTTGTCTTTTGCTCAGAAGCAAGAGCGATATTAGGATCACCAACTTACGAAGGGATGCATCGGTCGTGCGGGACGTCAATGTGATCTGGTTTGATCAAACCCACATAAAACCCCAGCGGTCTCCACTAACCGTGTCTGTTCGCCCGTCCGGAGTCGATGCTAGTCGCAGTCGACAGCCGCTCACACTGCCCACACAGGTGACGACGAAGGCCGCCCTCAGGCCCGCCTGCTGACACCTAGCGGTGAGCTCGGCAACTAGCTCCTGACCGGGCCCCAGCCGAAAACAGAGGACGCGACAGGTGGACAGAGCCATGGTCGCCGAGCCGGGGCCTGGTGGTGCCTGGGGAATGGGGATTGGAGATTGGCGACACCGTTTGCAGGAAACGAATCGGAGCAGACTCATGAAAGAAGTGCTACATCCAAACTCCACAGTCCACACCATGCTTATCTAAATTAAGTAATGAAACATATTTCTTACATCATTGCATACAATCTCACATCATTGTCAAACAACGAAACGTTTATAAGTCACTTCAGCAGACTACGATGCGTAGGTACCTACAGGAATCAGTTTTGGTGATGTCATTCGGGTCCAGGACCAAACGAAGATAAGAGCATGGAAAAGTCGACTAGCTGCAGTTAACAGTGGCCATACCATTACCCTGGCAATGAAGAGCAATTGTTGCCACCGCTTTACAGCGGTCGACCACCCGTAATTGACCAATTACAAAACGTTCACTGGTCATGTGGCATAGCACTGAAGCTGCGTCATTTCTCCCTCCCTCTGCCCCTATCTCCCTCTCTCTCACCTGACTCGCCACAGCCAAGCCACAGCAGCAGTACATAGGTAGTGAAGAGGTTCAGTTGAACGACTGATGCCGAAGTGGCTGGCTGTTGCTAGCGCCAGTAGAAGAGACTCGCGTTCCTCGCCCCGCTCACGCGCTCAATAGGTGTGTGTATGTAGCACGCTTCTGATATGTTAGAGATGCTAGTTTTTTCGATTCAGTCAGCTGGGAATATCAAAAGACCTAGGCTAAAACTTACTTAATGTTTTGCAACATTTACCTCTTTTACCTACATCAGAGATCGGTCTATTTGCTTTCATATCCATCTATCCATCACATGCACCAATCAAAAGTCGCACGAACCGGACTGATTTTTCATCCCTTGAGTCGTGTCTGTCCGACGGTGACGCATGGAACGCGCCGAGCGCAATTTACATAAACACACAGTGTAAACATGGAACGGGGAGCGTACAACTCCAGTCTCTTACGTCAAGAAGTTTACACCTACTAAGAAGTAAGATGCTCATTGCTTATATGCACAAAGGGTTATTGCTCTCAATTGGAGCCCAAAGCTGAAAGCAGCTCGCCATAGGTTTAATACTAAGACCGTACTAGGATTATATCTAATCACACACAGTAAATCCGTTATCCGATTGTGCACTGTAACATTTCAAGCTCAATGCAGAAAAAAATGAAGAAAAACGCTTCGAAAGCGCCTTTGACCTACCACATAATATACCGGGTGGCACAGAAAAAAACGTTCCAAACTTTAAATCAACATTTCTCAGAAAATAATAAAGACACAACAATGAAACTTCTAATAGTCAATGCAGCGTATATTTTCAGTAAATTGTATTATTTTTATGTTAATCGGGCAATTACTTTTTAAATGGTTCGTGTTTCTAGCATGCCATGTAAAAATTACTTTTTTGCTCAGATGTTTACTAAAAAAAAAATGTGAGTGAACGGGCCACTTCCATATCGGTACCACGGCCCGCATGCCATGACTGCTACTGGCAACTAGCCTCACTGATGGTTCAGGCCTTAGGGTGGCACATTCCCTCTAGCTTTCCTTATTCGGTCGATTTACTGTTCGATCTTCTTGAAGGGAGGGCGATCAGCAGTAACCCATGCACCGTGCCACTCCTTCTGCTCGAAACAGGACTTAGTGTTGAAACGAATTGCATCCATTAACACTATTTTGGCTCAGTATTTGAATATTCGGCACATAAGTGGGACAAAAATATTTAAAACAACAACACACGTGCTGATTTCATTCACGTGTTCCATTTTTCTATTTTTTCCTAACATGGTACGTCTAAGCCAATCATCACTACCGTCCAACATAGGCAAAAAAAGCAAAAACGTCTTACTTAATTCAACATAAGATTGCTGGCTTGAAAATGATGATAGAGTGTTATAATTTGGCATAGGTACCAATGCGCAAAGAAGTGACGCAAACTTTATGAAAATTTTGGCTCGTTATTTGCACTCAAATTTGAGATATAGGCCTCCAAAGTTCGGAACGTTTTTTTTTGGGGGGGGGCCACCCGGTATAAGCCGTTTTCACGACGGCCATCTGGTACACATTTGGTGCACATCTGGTGCAGACAGGTGCAGATTTGGTCAAATCAGGTTCAGTGTGTCTCTTAGTAGCTATCAGCTAGGGACGAGTTGTACTATTTGCTTATATGCCTGCTTTGTCATATTATCAGAGAGTATCATCGATTAAAACACTGAAATAAATTCATAAAATAAAGATATTTGTTGTAAAAGAAATTAGGTGCAGATTTGTTCAAATCAGGTGCACTCGCCGGATAGCCCGTCGTGAAAACGGCTATAATGTACTTTACCAATTTCATTCAATATGTTCAGTGAACACATTACTTTATCATTTATTATACATGTAGTCTGCATATTAGTTCTCGTTCTCAATGTTTTGCATTATTAACCAGATGTCAGTAAAAAAAAAAAAAACGCCGAAGATGATTTTGTTGTGCGTGCGCGTCACCGACGTTGCGCGACACGAGAGCTCTCTGAAGTCAAAATAAATCCAACAGTGTAAATGTCGCAACATTAGACACGAAACAATCCAGCTAAGTGCATATAAACCGAAATGCTATACTCGTAAGTGTATATCGACTCATTAGTTATGCTTCTTCCATCCACGTGCGATCATCGGTCTTTTTTTTTTCGAACGTCGTGGGTACCATGCGAATGTGAGCGATGCTGCAAGGTATAATATTACTGCTGACAAATGTATCGCTCTTGCTGTTTGTTAGTCCGCAGGGATGGGGCGGCAACAGCGCAAAGGAGGGGCGCCATGAGATAATAAATGACCCCTGAAAATGATGGATAGCTCACCTGCACCTTTTCTGAGGCCGTCAAATTGCACCTGGTGAGATGTGCTTTGCCAAATTGCGTGCTATAATTGCAGATGTTAGTCAATATAAGTGTTTAACTAAACATTAGATAACATCAAATAGGTGTGCACTGATACATAGGTATACAGTTGCTGAGTGCTGTAAGCGGACTACATGCCATCTTTCAGTTTATCTTCATTACTATAAGCGATGCATGACATTTATCGTTTACATTGCACGAAAGTCATTATGCAATACATAATATAGTAATAGGCCGCAATGTTTAACACTCCTTTTGTACTCACACCTTTTGGCCTTCTGAGCACACTGCACGAATTTGTCCGATATCGCATCATTTTGTGATAATAAGGTTTGTCATGTTTGATTTGTTTTCGTTGCCACTTTTCAGTCCGCAGTTTTCTACATATAACGTCTTTGTCGCGGATGTCGAGTTCTGGGATCGTCAGCAGCACAAAAGAACGGACCACATGAGTATGACAGCTATCCGGTCGTGAAGAGACTGTGAAAGTTTATGTGTACACCAGGGGTGTGTCTTAGCGGCAAGGAGGAGACACCACTGCCTAGTGTCTTAGCTGCACTGTCATGAGGTGGGGGAAAGTCTCTATAGCATTTTATGTAGGTATGTTCAGGTAGTCAACATTTCTTAGGTGTTGATTACCGTCAACCGTGGAAGCCGTATGGCTACCCATCTACGCTGGAGTACGAAAAAACATCATCTCATAGTCAACATTTCTGTTATTGGCCGGACGTCTCCTCAGCAGGACGATCACTCCTCAGTAAATAATTCTGCAATGAGTTTTGTTCATTTCGACGTTCACGTTCACTTGACACCAGCCCCTCCTTCTGCACATGAATTAGACAGACTGGGCAATTGTGTTTTAAGTGACAAAGTTATCTGGTGCTGATGATTGCTGATTGCGGTATGCATTAATATTTTTATCTACCAGCGAATGACGAAAAACAAACAACTTCCAACTACTTTCAACATTGGGCGAATAAGAATGTACTCGTCGTAAGACAAGGCACCGCTGGGCGTTGGCTACCGGTCAATCAGGATTCCAAAAAGCTGCGTGCACTGCAGCATTCGCCCGCCCCTGGCACTGGACAGTGGTCAGTGCAGCGGTGAGCACTGGACGCCGCCGGCGACAGAGCGGTGGGCGGCGGCAGCGGCGGCGGCGGCGGCGCGAGCGACCCACGAGAGTCTAACGCTAGTCGGCGCCGGTCCGCGGTCGGTAGCGGCAGCGCGGAGCGAGAGCGATCGGTGACCGCCGAGCGGGGCAGACGGAGCACGGCGCGTGCGTCTGTGTGAGCGGGGGAGGGAGAGCTTTGTGAGCGTGAGTGAGAAGAGGGTAGTGGTGCTGAACTGCGTGCAGTGGTTGCGTTCGCAGCCATGTCCCGCACGGCGGCGCCGCCGCTGGACAAGACAGACAGCTTTGAGAAGCTGGACAAATTCACCTCACTGGAGGTCAGCTTTCCACAGAGGCAGCTACTACGCCACAGCCGCAAGAGCAGCTTCCCCGCCGCCTTCCACTCATCCGCGCAGGAGGTTCGCCCGCGGCGCAAGTCGAGCCACGTCGTTCCCTCCAGCGACCGAGTGGCAGTCCCTCGCTCCCGCAAGTTCAGCAATGTCAGTGACGTGGTGGCTCGCAAACTAAGCACGACAATCGGCTGGCGCACCCACAACATCCAGGAGATCGTGCACCAGTCCAAGAGCCTGGGCTCTCAGTACGTGCGGGCGCGTCTGAAGCGGAGCGGCGTGTTCCACAGGAAGCTGGGCCTGCAGCGGCTGAGCTCGCTGGCCAGTCTGCACGGCGGCGCCGAGATCTGTGACGTGTTCAGAGAGATGGTGCTGATCGGGGTGGAGCTGGAGCGTATGCACCCGTCTGTGTACACGGCCATCTCGAGACAGGTGAACATGGCCATCACGTCGGACAAGACGGTGCGCGCCGTGGTGAACTCGGTGGCCGTGGATCTGTTCCGATCGGAGGTCACGTGGGGTCGCATCATAGCGCTCTACTCGGTGGCAGGAGGACTGGCCGTCGAGTGTGTCAAACTCGGTGAGTACTCCACGGACGGCTACCGGGGCTGCAGGGTCGGGAGGGCATTTCTATGTATTTTCAAATCAATAACGGCACGCGCCTAACACCTGCAGTTCTATAGCTGTCCCATCGTCCTATTCCGTGTTCTCGTGTTTGGAGAACTTGGTCCGTAAGTGTCATGTAAATGTTGACATTTTTCACGCGACCGAGGAGGATGTTTGGTCTGTTTTAACATAGGGTGTTGGACGTCATACTGGAATTGTCACGTTTAACAATGTCTCCAAGTTGTCTCAACAAACAGTTAGGGCTGCTCTTTCAGTTTACTTATAATTTTTGACTCATGAGAGTGCTTCCCTTTTACGTTTGAGAATTGACACCCTGTTCGGACGGAAAATGTCACCCCGGAGTTTCCTGTTATATTTTCATACCCCGGAGAATCCTGTTGACCGACATTGAAAAGCGCACGCCTAATAGATAAGAGAAATACGCGTTCTATAATACCTATAGCTTAGCATGTAATATTTTCATCATGCTTCGACACATCATGTACTGAGACAAGACCATATTTCTCTGACAGTCCGGACGTCAAAGCATTGATCGTTGATCTAATTATGCACGACTGTTAACGCATGCCATTAAAAATCTCATTAGACGGGCTATCGATTCGTTACGCTTCTATCCAATAACCTATGGGCTATGACGATGAGCAATTGAGCGTGGGTTCTTCAATCATGCTTGTGAGCCTTCAATATTAATAACCTACCGACTTGATCGTAATGAAATTTAGTCTGTGTAGGTATGCGCTACCGACAAATAGCCAATATGCTGAGGCTACATTCAGGTCATAGCTATGAAGAGAGCTAAGGTTAAACATCAGTACAACGATTCTGCGTAGGTACTCAATTAAAGTTCTAAGCAATCTGGCAATAAACGGGATCTGGGATGCCATGTAGAAGATGAAATTAGAAGATAACTTTAGGTCAGATTGTGGCGAAAACAAACTGCGCAAAAACATGTCCAGATAAAGGATGTCGGCTGCGAGGGAAGTTCACAGATTCTCTCTTCTGTACGGGCCTGAAATTCCACCATGAGCAGGACGATAATTCTGTTACTGCACGCGTGGCGCGTACCCCTCCATTGTTTCTCATTGGCCAGAATCACGCGGCTTGGTGGGGGTCGCACGAACATCGTCATTCCAAACGGGCTCTCAGACCAGGGCAGGGGAATACCCGCCCAGATCAGCCAGTCGCGTGGATTCCGGATTATCTGATCTTGTCAGGTAATGCAGAACACAGGCTCAAATTGTGATGCTGTTATACAGTTTTCGCTGGAACTAAATAAAAGGTCAACTTAGACTTCGACCATATCCCTTTCCGAAGGTATGTGAAAGGCCAGATAACTTTTATCTGCTATATGGTTGCTCATGCTTGGTAGTCTCAACAAGCCATTGAACGCCATGCGGCAAACACCGGTGACATTTTTATAGGAGAGTATCGCAGCTATCAGTGGCGTTCACATACCGTCAGGCGTAATTAATGCATTTTGTTTACCATGGTATCAGACCACTATGCAAACAGTCTGAGATCTGGCAGCGGCATTTTTTGGCGCTCTATCGGAGGTAAGTCGTTATATATGCCCAGCCTGTAGGTATCTAAAAATACGGTGTAGGTACATATATGAAAACACGGATCAGGAAAGATTAACCCTCGCACGACCAGGCCATTTCTCATAACACGAACGACCAGGGGGGGGGGGTTGTTACGACCCCCCCTGGCGTTTCGAAACGGAAGGTCGTAGAGCTTAGCGGAAAAAACCAACGGATTGCTCTCAACGAGATCTCGCGATTGGTGGTATATTTTTTGGTCCTAGGTCAACATTTGACCTACTTTTGACCGGTCAAAGGTCAAATTTTCGGAAAAATAGACTTTTTTCAACTTTCGGCGGCGATTGCGGCAATACGGTGGGAGATATCGACTTGAAACCTTCTCTATCGTGTTCCTTAATCAATTCTCTATCGTTTGGTATGTATTTCGTTTCCCTAGCTCTAAAAATGGCGCGTTGGGAGCGCCGGAAGTCGGCAAGGTCACAGTCGGCGGCAGAAATTCGAGAAATCAAAATTTAAATTTTTGAAATCTGATTGTATTTTTGGATTTGGGAGGTCCATTTGCTCCCTATAGAAGCTAATATTGCTGCATATTCCCATTGAGGTGACAAGAATTAGCAAAATAGTGGTTCGGGCGCTTTTCAAAAATAGTACCGGACGCTGTTCCTCTTGTGACGTCATAACTCCGTGACCTGACCTGACCCGGTCAATTTTCTTGCACCACACGATAGCCAATGCTTGCCCCAACATGCATGGGAAGTTTCATTATGATCCATCAAACAATGTGGGTATCACCGGCAGAAAACCTAGGGATTCGGCGCACACTTTTGGTAACTGTCGGCCAGAGGCTGTACCTCTTATGACGTCATAACTCCGTGACCTGACATGACCCGATCAATTTTTTTTCGTCAAAAGATGCGCAACGGTTGCCCCAGAGGGTATTGAAAATTTCAGCCCGCTACGACAAGCCGTTTAGCGTGCACTTCGAAAAAACCTCAGGGGGGGTGATACAACCCCCCCCCCTAGGCGTTCTAGGGTTAAGGTGCATTCGTCAACTGACCGTTTCCTTCGCACAGTATAGGTATTGCTGCCGCACGCTTCATTGGCGACGATATCCCTGATATCGTAGCACCATTGACCTCCAGAGCAACGCACAATCTCTCATGAAATGTTTCTGCATACGAGTATGCCAACTCTCATTTCATTGGAGGAATCATGAATATACGAGCAGTCTTTTGAGGCTGTCAATAACAATCTGAATATCTTCTTAAATAGCATGTCGCCATGCATTCTTGACTGTCACCTAGAACGATATATTGTCGTCTGATCTCTAGTATTTGTTTACCATTCTCCACAAATCGCCATGGCGTACGACTCAACATGCATTTGTTAGCCGCGTCAGTCTCTGGTAGGATCGGTTTATCAATTTCATACGGCACTCAGCATCCGATCAGCCGGACGTAAAAACGCTTCGTTGAAGTCAATGTTTTAGTCGATGCACTTTTTTGGTTTCAATCAGGCGGGTCACGATTGCTTCTTGTTATACCTTTCAAGACATTCATTCTCGGAAAGAGATTCTGTAAAAACGCGAACACTTGTCCAGTTGCTTAACGACTCGATCGACCATTTTTTAATAAACTTGGATGACTGCATAGAACACAAGCTTACATAATTGTCACTGAAGGTCATTATTTGTTTTTGCCGAAAGGCGATGATTTTTTCACACCTAACACACCTAAGTGTAAGACAGTTCTCATCATTTCCGATCAGACACTGGCGGAGACACTAACGGCTCACTACCGCGCCACATCCGCCACGATCAGCGCCGCGTGACAGTTGTGGCGCGCCGGTCCGGCGGCTGAGAGACGTATCTGGCGCGTCCCGTCGCTCGGGCCCCTCACTATCGCCAAGAGATCGGAACCCAGAGCGAGCTACAGTGACCCTGCTGAGAGCTGAGGTGCCGTGCTGTCGTATACACTGTCTCGCTGCTTAGCTTAGGAAATTCCGCTACAAGTTATATCAATGTCAGAAGCATGTATGCAAATGGGAGAAGTGTAAAAAATGACTCTTGACTATGGAGATTACATCCACCATATTTGGTAAACTGTCTTTTAACGCAATCAGAAGTCGAGCCTCGCGCACACAATCAAGCAAAATGTCTGAACATGAGCGCCAAATCGTTTCACCGCCGTTCTTTCGATTCATGACGGAAAACCTCATATCGGCGCGGCCATGGGGCAGTGATGGAGGAGTGCGCTCTCCTGCCTAACTCTCAGAACATGACGGAGCGGCCCCGGTCCAGCACGGCGCCGGGCGCAGATGGGGCTCCGATACAGTGTGAGGCCGGCCGCCAGGGAGGTCATTAGAGGCTGGCAGGTCACACGGTGTCGGAGATGGAGTAGCGGCGGCGAGATGACCTCAGAGACCGAGTACCCACAGCGGCGCGGGCCGGCAGGTGAGGTGATGGTTCGATGGACAAGATGGTAGGCTGGTGGTTCGCCAAAAGAGACGAAAAGTTAGGTGATTGTGAAGTCATAAACTGTCTCAAAATGAGTTCATTAATTACTGCTGACCACATTTGATATATGCGATGTCATTTTTCCGGTGATAGCACATGTAGAGACACTGCACTGCATTGTTTTGTTAGACAGGAGACACTGCAGTATGTATTTCCTCTCCAGCAAAACACGGCCTCGGTAACGGTAAAGGACACAAGAACCCAGCTGTATCACTTCCCGTTTCAGTAGACTATTTCGGTGCATTCCAGCCCCGTTATTCATTGTCAGCTCACTGACGTGATAAAGCAAGCTCAGCCCAGTGTACCACAGCAGCAAGACTGAACAATGTTATCACCCTAGTCATATGATGATCAAACCTTAAACATAGTACCGGCATCTGTTATTGTCTGGAGTGCCGGCCGGCTATTGCCGGGGTCAGGCACTGCTTGTTTGTGTCACGGTGAAGTCTGACCCGTGCCACTCACTGAAACCCCGAACCCATATGGCCCGCTGCACCTGGTGCCGCTACAGGGCCAACGTCATTATTCGGCTGCTTGTGGGAAAGACGAACGACGATGGTTAAATGAATACTGAGCAGGTCTACCCGTAATGATGTGTCAGCTGTTCATGGACTGCTAATCAGCACCGGGGAATATGAAACTGGTATTTTGAGGATACAAGTTTGTCAGAGAAAGGCAGCCAACGCACTACTCGTATGCTAACAGCATCCCAGCGGTGAACTTCTTGTTATAACTTGGTAAGCCGATACAATTTTAAGACGATGTCACGGTGCAGTAGGTAAATGGTAAATTCATTATGCAATATAATGCAATATGCATGCTGCCTGTGCCATTGAAGCAGCGGTGCCTTGGTCCACTGTTTGAAGTGGTACGTCTCATTTCTCAAGGCTGTGCGGC